AAGAAAAGAAAAACCCGGTGATGTCCATGAGTGAAGCTATAGTTGGCCCACCCAGTCGACTTTCGCATTAAGTGGGGCCAATCTACCCTTCTGTGTACGGTGTACAGTCCTTACATTATCGATACAGATTGTGCGGAGGGAACCAGCCTACCCTGCGAGAACGGAACTTTTTCTGAAAGCAAATAATTCGAATTAATGTAAATTAACAATGAAAAAACTAAACACCGCCGAATTTTTTGGACGATTTCTCATTCAACAGTGAATAACTTTTGTATCGCTAGAAAAATAACGATTTTGAAAAGGAATCTATTTTCGGGATGAAACCCGACAATATCACGCGGAACGCAACTTTAAAGGGACACTGGGTCCTAGAACAGCCCAATTGGGCTACAAAACGCGCTTTGAACGAAATGATGTTAATCTGAAAGAACATTTAAAAGTAGGATACAAACATCCACATAACTGTCCTAGGCGTTTTAATGTTATTCCTGTATTTATACGCGTGCGTGAACAACTTTCGGGGTCCACTTTATTTGCGACCCCAAAAAATTCGAGCTGTTTTAATACTAGTTGTGCTTTCAACCATAAAGTGTTCGCCTTCTGCGGACGTGTAAGACACCATATTATGTGCGTTGGTGATTGGTCACCGCGCGCTGTTTGCGAGCACGGTGCTGTGCATTCGTACGTGCATTGAGTGAAAGTAAAAAAGACAGGAAAACCGTTTTCTTACTCCGTCGTGTCCGATGTTAACAACCGAGTTCGCCCGTATACCCCCCGCTCTTCAAACAGGACGCTGGGATACTCTGATGAATTCGCGCTCTGATTGGTTGGATTTTGCGCAACCTGTGACCTGTGAGTCATCACGGTCATGACCTGGCAAGGTTTTCTACGGCCGTTAAGACTGATTCATTACTCTTTTATTCCAGTTTATAGATTTTTGTACACATGGTCCGCAATGAAACAGAAATCACATCCGGTATGGAATGTGCACATTTCTACAGGAAAGTTTTCGGATAGCGGTCTTAAACAGCTGCAGCCAGATGCTTTATACATGGGTCATAGGCCACTTCACAAGATTCTGTGAAGCTCATCATCTTATCACAGCGTCCTGTTTGCAGGGCGGGGGGGGGGGGGGGCACGAGCGAAACAACCGAGGTTTTTCGTTTTTTCTCGGGAACGGTAAGACATTAGGTTGGTTTCCTTTGAACCAGATGTTTGAAATAGGATAAGTAAACGATCCAAAACATGACATTTTCGGGGATTTCACTAGCGATAGTACCCCTTTAAGTCAAATAATGCCCTGTGTTACACCTGCAAAGCCAGGCCAGTGACCAATAGATGTCTCCTTTTCGACATTTTGACAAGCAAATTAAGTTTTTGTTTACCTTGTCAATACTGAGGGATCGCAGGAGTTCGCGTCTTAAGACAGCACCGCGAGTGTTTTCAGACGGAAGGTTTCTTCGGTTTGGTGTGCTGAGGTTGTATATTGCCCTTGTTTTTACAGAGACCCTTCGATCTTTCGTTGGCAAAATGCGCCTAGTGGATAATTTAACCCTGACGGTTCTGATTTCTCTAACTTCCCGCCTTCCTACGAGATCGCGTTTCTCAACAATTCTGAGTAATTTCCTGCTGTTCCCGTCCATCTTACGGGCTACCTTCCTCACATGCTCGTATTACCAAGGCAAATAAACGCACAACGCAATGCGCACATCGAAAACGGACATATGGATTCTTGGTCTTATGTACGATCCTAATGCAGTATTTTTCCACTGTCTTGCACGTTTTTAAAAACACTTATGGTGATTTCTGTATGTAACATGTTATTTACAAGATATCAAGTTTGTTTCCTTAAAATGATGTCTTTTCCCAATCGCACAGGTTACAAAATTGTCAAATTAGTCCGTCTGGTATATCAATAATAGGGCTGTTGATCATTTCCAGCGCGTCTGTGAAACTGGAGAAACGGGTTTGTATTACATGTAGTAATTACGTACTATATCACGGTCTAAACATGACATGTCTGTCACCGATGTACAAAGTGGGATTAAAGCCTGCATTAGTTCAAAGACAGATGATGTTTCCTGATTCAGATCGGTGGAACCTATAGGAGCCAGGAAGACGGCGTCAAATATAATTCACTTCCATTTTACGTCACCATTCCACGTATCAGAAAAGTTAATGTGAAAAAGAGACATAAAAATTGTATGTATAATATTTTTTGTTAATCCTCTTTTGGCTATGTTGCTCTGATTTGGGAACCAGAACTGTTATTCCAAACATCAGATTCTAAAAAAAATTTCGAGTCTTTCTTTTTGTAGAAAAGCTGGTCCCTATTTGCCTGTCTCCATAATGATTTCAAAACACTTCGGAGAAAAAAATCCAGAGCCAGTGTTTCTATAACAACTATATAATGACCATAAGGCAAAAAAAAGTCGGTCTCTGGTCAGACCAAAGTTCCGGAATTGATGCGGCGACGCAGTTTTTTTTTAGGGGGGGGGGGCTTTTTCTTCTTCTTCAAGCTTGGATTGTAAAGACAAGGTGGGTATTATTTTTCTTTTGTTGTGTCCTCATATACATTGGTGTCCTCCATCATTTACCTTGATGCCCTCCATCACTTGCCTTTGTGCAATTTCCCAATTCTTGGTGCTCCTTGGTACAAAAATGTGAGGTGGTGCGGCAATAGGTCGCTGTTGTAGCTACCGCAGAAAATTTGAAAAAAATAATTGACGCGCATGATTAAAATCGACGCGCGCGCTGACCAGAAACCGACTTTTTTTTGGCCTAAGATAGGAACAAAACTTCACTTCTGATTGATGATGACATGAAATCAGCCGTTTACGTACGGATGCACTTTTCTGTCATCAATGGCTGCGATGAAAATGCTTCATTTATGGGGCTTTTATCTCGTCAGCTCTTCTAACGATAATCCGATGTGATATGAAGTTTTATTTTTAAGAGTAAGGAGCCGTACGACTGTGATGTATCCATTAACCTCAATGAGTCCTGGCGACAAGAGCAAAACCGCCCACAGCAGGAAAACCTTCCAGTTTGCTTGATCAGCATCTTATGAGACCAAATAGACCAAAGATGTATGTCTTGACCAAAACATCACTATAATGTCATATAAATTATAGCTAAGCATGTGCCTAAATTAAAGTTGTATACCTGTGCTCTTTAACACATTCGATATTTTTTTCACCGAACGACTTTCTATATGTATGTTTAATTTAAACGGAAACATTTTTTCTAAACGTTTTCAAACCAATAAAAACAATTAAGTTTTTATTTTGGGTTGATTTTGTGCCCATAACGCACAAAAAAGATTCGGGTGAATAACTGTTGAGCCGCAAATAATTACAAATTTGAAAAGTACTTTTTCCGTAGTACTGAACGCAGGCGGGCTTTTTGGTCGATGTCTCATTCCGGAGCTGGAAAGCGAGCAATTGAAAAACAAAATCTAACCCGAAAATAGTACGGGCTGTGCAACTTTAAAACACATTTCCTATCATCTCGTCGGCGTCTTGTGTCATGTTCAAACATTGATGCCATTGCTGGTGGGGCCTCCAGTCTCTCTCCGATGCTTTATGTCCTGATATTATGTTTGCACCTAGTACACGCGCTGTCCTCCTCCTTCTCGGATCATTGCATATTATAAGCTTCTCCAAAGCTATTTGTATCATCAGAAAGCCGATGACAAGATTGCGAGGGTGCATGTTTTTAACTAGAAAGGCGCCGTAGGGTGACTGACAAGTCGTGTTTTTTTCTTCGCTATTCATGATAACATTCACTATCTAAATTTAAATACATTTTGTTTGGGACCGAGGTAGGTCTGAGCAGTGACCCAGTTCTGTATTGTATATTTTTAGCTGTTCGTTGAATACTCTTCAATTGCACATGTAAACTACCGATTTGTGGTCTAACAAGAATGGGCCTTATTCACGAGTTGGCCATTTTTGTTGAGTTCCCTGAATGTATTTTATTAAGTGTTAACTGTTGAATGGGATAGTGCCAGACTATTTATGCAGGCACATTACAGCCTTATTTTGCTGTCATTCTTTTTTTTTTTAAATATGGCTTTAAACATTAGGAATATTTAATTGCAAATTTTGAATTATTCATTGAAGCAGACTGGAATTTATTCTAAATTAAGTTGCTTTCATTTCTCTTCGCAAGTTCCAAGATTTAAGATTTTACCTAACTTTCAATTCAATATGGCCGACTCGTGAATAAGGCCCAAACTGCTGCAGTTGTCTGCTATTACTAAATCCCTCTTTTAACAAGCTTTCCGATAGTAAATGCCGAACTTTATGGCATCAGGGCTACAATAACCTGATAATCCTATTGTCTTTGAAAACGATCTCTCTTGGAAATTATAATGTTGGCATCTTGAAGCTCGGACCCTGATGTGAAATACGATATGTCGCGGCGTAAGATTCGGCAGTAACCAATACTGTACAAAGCATGTACCCCCGGCGCTTCAATAATTCTCACTTGTTATTATGGACTATTCCCGAATAATCGGTTGTTATCGCATTTCCAGGGTTTGTTCCAGCACCCCGGCGGCTACACTCTATTTGACTTGGCAAATAGCGCTCCGTGTACTCCGTCAGCGTGAATATCAAGTACTTCAGTGACGTGTCCTGCACTTGCTCATTCCTTTAATATTGATGTGTGCTATCAGGATGTGCACTTTCGGCAAAAAAGTCCACAAACACTGCGCTGCGAAGTTGATTTTTTTTTACCTCTTTCTGCTGACCGTTTTTTTATCAAGCAAATGCTTAATGTGCTTTTTAAATTTGTAACAGAATAATCGATCCGCTATGAATATAAAAGAGGATCTTACTGTAATCTATATGTATATTACATGCCCTGCAGATCAGAGGCGTGGTATTTGTGACATACATATTCACCGAAAAGTAGTTTAATGGGTCAAGGAATATTTCAAGCTTAATGGCTTTGGTTGTTTTATGTTGTTTTTCGCATTTGCAGGTTTTATCATCATGGATTCAGATTACTACTCTTACAACCGTTATGTTCCTTACAACTTGATGTTGGAAAACAAGACATTGGAAGAACTCTTGGCAAGTCTGAACTTCACTTCCCTGGGCGCGTTCATCGATGAGTATGACGTAGAATTAGAACCCATCGCCTACGATCTGTCTACCAAGGCCGATGCTGGTCTCATCACATCCTACACGGTGATATTTCTGATGTCGCTGGTAGGCAACCTCCTTGTGGTGCTTGCGGTTGCGCGAAAGCGCAGCATGCGCACTGTCATTAACGCGTTTATCGTATCCTTGGCGACTTCTGACCTACTGATCACCCTGTTCTGCATCCCGTTTACACTAGTCGAAATAATCACAGTAGACTGGGTACTAGGCACGTACATGTGTAAACTCCTCAATTACATCACCATGGTCGCTGTGGTTTCCAGCGTCCTTACCCTGACCACCATTGCGATAGAGCGCCACCACGCGATCTGTTACCCCCTACGAGCACGCATCATTCAGACCCCCAAACGCGCCGCCATCTTGATAGCTGGTCTCTGGGTGTTCTCCATGCTCCTTGTCTCTCCACTGCTCTTTGTTCTGGAAGTGGAGCTGGAATTAGATCCTTTCAGTGGCACCACCTACAAGTTCTGTCTGGAAGCCTGGGCCCACCATGACCAGAAGAAGACCTTCACGCTGCTCCTGGTCTTGTTCCTGTACGTCATACCCGTCTTCACCATGACCATCTTGTACTTACGAGTGGTGCACCGACTGTGGATACGCAAGGCCATCTCACCTGTCGAGGCCCCAGGAAGTATGGCCACCGCCTCGTCCTTACGCAACAAGAGACGAGCCACCAAGATGCTGATCGTGGTAGTGATTCTCTTCGCGGTCTGCTGGCTGCCTTTCCACGTGGTCAGCATTGTCCGTGATTTCTCCCACCTGTTAGACAGCGAGCGAAACCGCCTCATGTTAGCCATAGTCCAGCTGATTGGCTTCAGTAACAGCTTCAACAATCCTATCGTGTATGCCTTCCTGAACGAAAATTTCAAGCGGACCTTTCGGAAGACACTCTGCGTCCGTCCTAAGACGAAACCCGGCAAGAAGAAAGTGAAGAGGTCGACAACTCATCTGATAAGCCCGTATGCTGTACAGACAACCTTGTAACTCATTGCAAACACTTACACAATTTCGTCACAGAACATCACCATCTGTAAACATATTTAGCCGTATTTAACATGGTTTCATGAAGTAAAGAAGGGAAAAAGGCTTATTAAGTGTACTGGAGTGCCTTAGAATTCAAGCGAGCAATGTGACTTCGGGTGGTACCGGACAGGAGATTCAAAAACAGACTATTTAAAAATGTATGTAATTGATATAATCCCCAATGAAGATTTCGATATTCGTTGTTATCGTGCATTCATAAATACCTAAGAGAGTTTACGCAATTTCCTATTGGTCGACAGGCCGTCAAGTGGCCGGTCTTAAACGGATGATATAGACATGGCTAGCTGGTCTTAAACACTTTTCCAATATAACATCAAACTTGGACCCCCATGAAATCCGGTGCATTTTAACGTTTCATTGGTTGAACGTTCACATTCCTCACGTATGCATGCGCAATGTAGTACCAGTGAATTAGTCTGGTTTCCAGACCAAAAGATTCTGACTATTCCCGATGAATCTTAGGTCCGGTAGCCTCCGGTAATACATTGTATTACAATTTACATCACGTGACTAAAACGGGAGGAATTCCTCCTTTTTCCGAAAATGTCCGAAGTTTGCCGAATTCTTTTCGTCGACAATCGTATAGCGCCCGAGTATTTCCGAGTATAATATAGGTTTAATTAACTGCTAATTGCATATTAATTTTTTTTTTAAATGAGTTGATAATTAACATTCATTGCTTTCATTTAGAACACTTGAAATTCAACAACGATTTTGTGCATCAAATATACTCGGATCGTATCATGTGGGCGAACTTTTTGCTGCGTCATGTACAATTTTGAATTTGACGACCGTTACCGAGATTTTCCAAAACTCGGTCTTCATTCGGCTCCGCCTGATAACAGTGCTATTTGGGTGCCTAATTTTGAAAATTCCAGATCAACATTAGTCAATGTTATCTTACAGAAACATCAAACTGTATTATCATAACTGTTTGATATTACAAAGCAAATGATTTATTTCAAAATTTGATCAGAACATTAAAAGCTAAAAGTGATAAAGCGAAATCGGAAACGAAGCCGAGCTTTGAAAAGGGGCCATCAATTTCGTCATGTTTATTTTTAGCCACGGAGGCTGCCTGACCTACAATTTAGACGTAAGCGTCGGGAATAATTGTCAGGTCTGGGAACCAGACTACCAGTGAATCAGTATTTCATGGTCCGAAATCCACACTACACCAGCCCAGCTGCGTTTTGCGCGACATCGCGCAGTACGTGCGAGGCGCACGCCAATGTCCTTATAAAGTACTGAGTTGTGGAGGGGCATTCCATATTATAGTCAGAGGGGTGTTTCGTAAAACACGAAGTAAAATTGTTGAACAAAAAGGTTGGCAACGTCTAGTTTTTGACATGTTTTAATGTTTTGACCGAAAAGATTTTTTTTGACCGAAAAGGTATTTATGAATGGGAATAAATATGTGTTCTGTCGGTATTAAACACTCTGTTTAAGACCGGTGGGAGTCTCGATGGGTGATAATTACCCTCGGCTTCGCCTCGGGTAATTATCACCCATCCAGACTCCCACGGGTCTTAAACAGAGTGTTATAATGCCTCCCGAACACACATTTATTCCCTTATTGTTTATCATTATAGTCCACTAATACTAGCTTCAATAATATCTAGTGTTTGTCTTGTAGATGTCTATATAGCTCTAACTACCCGCGTTTCCCCCTTCAATTAATTGAGTAAGACCGGCTCATCAAGCTCATAGACATTGTTACGCTTGGATGTATGCTAATCTATTGTAAGTAATGATAAATGTTCAAAATGAAAATTAGAGGACGAAACGCTGCTTAATTCAGTTTTCCACAATAAAGTGAACACCCCCCCCCCCAAATTCTGACAATTATACTGGTAGTAATATCCGCTTGTGCACAAATTTGGTCGGAGCCAGCTGGTTTAGGGGGTTTAACACTATTCTGCAATATAGTGTTGATGAGCGTCGGATTTGAACAGCGCCCCCATTGAAAGTGTGGTATGAGCCACCCCCAACCCTGCAAAAAATCCTGGACCCGTGCGTGCTACCTGCTTTAACGCAGAGACAAGAAGAAATTTCATAAATTCAAATTTTCACAGAAGCAAATTTCATGAATTTAATTGTCGCAGGCATGTTATTTCTTGGAATCTCATTGCCTACAAAATTTAATTGTATTCCCTTTTCTTTCAGAGTAAACATTTAATGAGTACAAATATAGAGTAGGCCTATCATATGCCAATACTTCGCGTGTGTTGTTTACATTATGAATGTATTAAGTAACATCCATGAAGTTATATTGCATGTTGTAACATCGTCTTGAACCGTAAATAAAATGGTATCAATGGAACACGTTTCTTGGCCATATGTAATCATTCATGAGAAAAATAGAACAAAATTACATTTTGTGTTTTTTCCCTTCGGCTACAGATGTCTACTTGTAGCTTATCATTCCCAAAAATTGAAACAGCAGTCGCATATTAACTCAGTTTGGTTGTTGCCTTGTACGCCACAAGACATAACTATTGCGCAAGGCTGGTACGCACCGCGTTGCTTTCCTGAAACTGTATAACTATCGGCGCAAGCGACGGTTACGTGGTTGCACAGTGCAAGGTTCCAGCTGCTAATTGATAGGCCAAGGTCCCAGTCTAAGGTCTAAGTAGTAGGGCCTACTACCGTGCATTCCCATGAATGGGACGATATCTCAATGCTAATGGTGCCAAACTGATTAGGAATGGGAGGGCTGATAAAGGTCTATTTTTGGTTGCCGCAACTTGATCATTGACCGTTTCTTTATGTTCAGATCGCAAACTTTTGTTCTGGCTATTCTTATTTTTCGCATTCATTGCGGGGAGGGGTGCTTGTAATAACGTAGAGAAGGCAGCTACCATAATATTTTGGGATTAATGTAAGACTACAATGTGGTACTCGTCAGCCCTCTCAACTGCCAACTAATGTTTTAGTATTATTTTTAAAGTCTGACCGACTTCAGACTTGGCAGACACTCAATTAGACCATCACTCAAAGATTTCGTCACGATGACATCATCGGGTGTCACGTCACGTCACATTAAAGGTGTATTTTTCGAATCACTTTAATTTCGGACGTACAAATCCGATTAGGTTGAAACTTTAATGTACATAGACATGGACGTGTTATACGTGACAATTTAAGTGACTTCATGACACGTCATAGCGTATATGATTTGTTTTAAACATTTTTGACCAATTAACTTATATTTTGCAAACAAAAAATGCTAGCCTTATTTTTTTGCAATTAGTTTGATAGGTCATAAAAGCACGAACTTACTTTGAGACAATGTGTGATGCACCAGGACGTCATCAAAACTGCAATTTTTAAAACGCATTTGAAGGGAAGTCCAATCGTCATAAAACTTGGTGTGTAGTTAGAACACTTATATGCAAAACATGACGTGACCTCACGATGATTTCATCAATCAATGTTTTTATTAATTTTTGAAATGTTCATATTTTCTATTGTTACAACATTTGAAATGTCCTCTTTTTAGGCGAAGTAAAAAAAATCCCATGTTTCTCGTTCCCGCCCGCTTCCTTTTTGGAGGCCTCCTGGATTTTTTTATTATTGTTTTTTTTTTGAAAAACGCAGTAAAATACACCGAAAAAGTCCACAAATTCATTGGAAAATAAATACTTGCGAAATATGTGACCAATACAACTCTAAATGACACTGTAAATATGTTCATTTTTCTTTTCCAACTAATCTTTTATTTGAAAAGTGTCTTTGAACAGTGGAAACACCAACGGTTGCAGGAAATTTTGAAATGGCGACATCTTGAAAAAAATAAAAAATAAAAATAAAAAGCCCCTTTTCCTCTTTTTTTTTTCAAAACCCCGGACGAGAAACATGTATTTTTATTCGGTCTTAGATCAGCTTCAAATATCCCCCTGAGGAGGTACAAACACATTTCTATTTGTGTTCGTTAACATATTAAAAAGCCTGGAGGGTATCGAGTACCGAAGTGTGACGTCAGTTAGAACCAGAGAAAGTGTAGTCAAAACATTGATCTCCATAGTAATGGAGATCAAGTAAAGGAGATCAATGAGCGAATGAGTACGCGCGCGTGTTGGTTCACGGCATAGTCACGGGCTGAATCGCGCGCTAATGTCTTTTACACACATTGTGCGCGTGTTGCATTAACTTCGGTACTCAATTACTGCCGGATGAGAGGTGCTGGCGCTTCATTTCCTTAAAAAATATCAAATGTCGCCTGCAGGAGAGATTTTCTTTGTCTCCCCACAATACACGACAGGGTGACAGTAAGGTCATGGCAAAATTCTGCTAAATGCATTTCAAAAATCTGTCAGATTTATCAAAAATCTGCCAAATTCCCCAGAATTAGTCGAAATACACTGTAAACACTTAAAATCACATACAGATTTGTAGTATTGCCTTAATTAGGGTTCAAAATACATTGTAAACAATCTGTAGTCACATAAAGATGTTATGAAATTATTGCGTCAATTTCAGCAAATTTCAGCAAAACGCGGTTGCGTCACGACGAAGTCCGGTTCCCAGTGAAACTCAGCACCAAAACCAGCCAACCTGTCCCATTATGCAAGGGTTTGTTTGAAAAGACTGAAGCTTTTTTAAAGAAATGTACATGTTTTTTCAATTTGCTATGGTTTTCTGTCAAATAACGGTTTTTGCAGAATTCTGCCAGAAATCTGCCAAAAAAATTCATTCTGTCAAATTTTCTGTCAAACTCGTTTTTTTTAACAAAAAATATGTCAAAGTTAGCCGAAAATCGGCTAAAACGGTCACCCTGATACACGGGAATGATCGCAGGTTTAAAATACCTTTGCCGTGCTAAACAAATGTAATCTTTCCATACAGCTGAATGTAATTTGATGAAGGTCTTTCCGCGCTGCACAATTTATACATTTCAAGCACAAGGGTGAATCATTGTAATTTGGGGTTAAAAAAGCCGTTCCCGGATCATTGAAAAACATATATTGTGTTTGACACTACACGTCGTCTGAGCACCGTCGGATTCAAAAACAAATTGTGGGGGATAAGCTTTTGCGGTTTTTTTCCCCATTTTGTTTTAAGGAGGGGTGGGTGTATACATTGAAATTGTGGACCTTCATTACTAGAGGATAATAGGGTTGACCGAAGGTCCACATTTGATGTGTGTGTGTACAAGTCAAATCGTATGGATGATCTTCCTAAGTATCAACCAAAGAGGGACAGTAGGGGGACACGAATGAAGGTGCTTAT